TTTATTTTTTCAACTTATATGATATATATGATTCTAAACGACACATATTTAGACAAGAATTGACTTGATCAATTAATTGTTCGAATTTATAATCTGACAACATTGTAGTGTTAATTAATTACATATATGTATGGTGCATCATGTCTATAGGTCTTGGTGATGGGTTTCCCTCATTAGTGGAGGAGAGAAAAAGATGGATAAATAAATAGTAAAATAAAATGAAAGAAAGGACGGGAGAGTTTGAAGAAAACGAATGGAAAAGAAAAGGAAAAAAACTCTCCTTCATGCATGACCACCAATTAGTTAGGAATTAATGTTGGCTATAAAAGCCGTAGCCTTCTTTCAATTCATTGCATCTCTTAGAAAACCAAAACTAATAGAGTTTTGAGAAATAAGAAAGCCTCACTTGTGTGAGAGAGAAAATCCTCTTGAGAGAAAAACCAAGAGAGAGTTTAGCTACCGGTGTTTGGTGAGATTATTATTGTATTCCCATTATTTTTCCTTAGTGGAAGATATAGTGTTATTTTTGCTCATTTTATTTACATTAGGCTGGGAGAAGTCAAATCCTGGGAGTGCCATATTTATTTATTGGCTCTTTTATTTTACGTCATCTTTCCTAACAAGTGGTATCAGAGCCAGGTTATAAAATATATATATATATATATTCTTGTGTAATTTAAGATGGAGGAGTCATCGTCTTCATCATCAGCAACAATGTTAAAATTGACTGCATCCAATTACTCCATTTGGAAGCCAAGAATGGAGGACATCCTTTACTGCAAGAATTTGTATGAGCCCCTTCAATTGCTGGGACAAAAACCAGAAGGGAAGTCAGACGATGCATGGAGCATTCTGAACAGAAAAGTTGTCGGACAAATCCGACAATGGGTGGATCAAAGTGTGTTCCACCATGTGGCACAAGAGACGGATGCATACAAATTATGGACAAAATTGTCGTCCATGTACGAGCGGAAGACCGCTCAAAATAAAGCATCGGTTATCCGACGGTTGGTAAACCTTAAGTACAGAGATGGTCGAAGTGTTACCGAGCATCTTAGTGACTTCCAAGGTTTGATCAACCTGTTGACGAATATGAAGATGGTGCTTGATGATGAGTTATAAGCACTAGTGTTACTCAGCTCTTTGCCTGATAGCTGGGATACACTAGTAGTATCTTTAAGCAATTCAGCTCTTCAAGGCGTTCATACATTGGACATAGTTAAAGATAGCATGTTCAATGAAGAAGCAAGGAGGAAAGAACAAGGTGTAGTAGCTGAGTCAGAAGCCCTCATCTCAGAGCATCATGGAAGAACTAGCAATAGAAAATTCCACAGGCGAGATAAGTCAAAGGGCAGGTCAAGAGATGGCTCAAGAGGGAGGTCCAAGACAAGAAAGGACCTAGAATGTTACTATTGTGGTGAGATAGGCCACATGAAGAGAGAGTGCAGGTTGTTTAAACAAGAGCAAGATAGAGGTAACGAAAAGAGTGATGCCAGGGACACGACTGCAACTACCTCTGGTGGAAATGAGGTAATTATTCTATGTGGTGATGGCTTCGTTAATTTTTCCTCTCAAGATACATGCTGGATAGTGGATTCCGGTGCATCATTTCATGTCACCTCACGGAGGGACTTCTTTACATCTTACACCAATGGAGATTTTGGTAATGTGAGGATGGGAAATGACAAATTGTCCAAGATCATGGGAAGAGGAGATATTTCCCTTGAAACCAACACAAGTTGTCAGTTGGTTCTCAAGGATGTGAGACATGTTCCAGACATGCGTCTCAATCTAATCTCCACTGGATTACTTGACGATGAAGGATACACCAATGTCTTTGCTGAAGGGAAATGGAAACTCAGCAAGAACTCTCTTGTCCTAGCACGAGGGAAGAAGGAGAACACCCTATACATGACACATGCAAAAGTTAGTAATGGGTACGTAAATGCTCTCGCAGAAGACTCGATCGAGCTTTGACATAAATGGCTTTGTCACATGAGCGAGAAAGGGCTGCAAATTCTAGCCAAAAGAGAAGCACTGACCGGGATGCAGAAAGGCATGCCTCTAAAATCATGCACGCGTTGCTTGGCTGGAAAGCAGCATAGAGCTTCGTTTCAACATGGTCATGCACAAAGAAAACCCAATGTATTGGACGTTGTGTACTCTGATGTTTGTGGTCCTATGACCACTAGTACTCTTGGTGGTGCAAGATATTTTGTTACCTTCATTGACGATCATTCCAGGAAGGTATGGGCTTACACACTTAGAACAAAAGATCAAGTGTATGAAGTTTTCAAGCAGTTTCATGCCAGAGTTGAACGAGAGACTGGTAGAAGCTTGAAATGTATTCGCACCGATAACAGAGGAGAATATATGAGGGTGTTTAGAAACAACTGTAGAAGTAATGGAATCAGGCATGAACGATCTGTTCTGAAGACTCCTCAGCATAATGGCATAGCTGAGAGAATGAACATAACAATTGTTGAAAGAATAAGAACAATGTTATCTCATGCCAAACTGCCCAAAAGCTTTTGGGGTGAAGCCCTGATGACTGCGGTTGATCTAATCAACCTTTCTCCTTCAGCACCTTTGAATGGTGATGTCCCGAACAAGTTCTGGTCGGGAAAAGACGTTTCCTACAAACATCTGAAAGTTTTTAGTTGTAGAGCTTTTGTTCATATTCCTAAAGACAAGATATCCAAGCTCGACGCAAAGTCAAAAGAATGTATCTTCGTGGGATATGGGAATGAAGAATTCGGTTACAGGTTATGGGATCCTGTAGCTAGAAAGATTATTAGAAGTAAAGATGTTGTCTTCTTTGAAGATCAGAACATTGAAGACATTCGAAGAGGTGATAAACCTGATAATCCTAGAGAATATCCAGCTAACTTGGATCCAATTCCTCCTTCATTGGAGCACAATGACAGGCGAGATGAATCCAATGATACTGATGATCCAGCTAATGATCCTATTATTAATGAACCAGTTGATGATGACATGAGTGATGGTCAAACAACTGATGGTATAGTAGATGATGTAGCTGATGAGGGGCTAGAAGCACAAGCCCATGAAGAGCAAGCGGCCGAATTCCAACCAAGAAGATCGACCGGGGTATGGAGACCTCCGAGTAGGTATTCTCCAGATGATTACGTTCTCCTAACAGACGGGGGAGAACCAGAATGCTATGAAGAAGCATTGACTCATGATCAACAAGATGAGTGGTTGAAAGCCATGCTTGAAGAGATGCAATCTCTGCATGAGAACCACACATATGATCTAGTGAACCTACCAAAAGGTAGAAGAGCACTCAAGAACAAATGGGTGTATCGACTGAAGACGGAAGAAAACAACTCTAAACCCAGGTTTAAGGCAAGGCTAGTTGTGAAAGGTTTCAGTCAGAAGAAAGGAATTGACTTTGAAGAGATTTTCTCACCCGTAGTGAAGATGTCATCCATACAGGTTGTACTCGGTTTGGCTGCAAGCCTGAATCTTGAGATCGAACAGCTAGATGTGAAGACAACTTTTCTTCACGGAGATCTTGAAGAAGAAATCTACATGGAGCAGCCAAAAGGATTCAAAGTCAAAGGAAAAGAAGATTTGGTAAGTCGGCTGAAGAAGAGCTTATATGGACTCAAGCAGGCACCTCGACAATGGTACAAGAAGTTTGATTCTTTCATGATTGAACACAGATACCGGAGGACTACTTCAGACCATTGTGTATTTGTGAAAAGATTTGATGATGGTGAATTCATCATGCTTTTTCTCTATGTCGATGACATGTTGATCGTAGGACAAATCAGTGACAAGATTTGCAAGCTGAAGAAAGAGTTGAGCAAATCATTGCATACATCAGACTACCAACAGCTGAGGAATATGGCACCATAGCCATGCTTTCTTTTTCTTGTCTAAACCAGGCAGAGAACATTGGAATGCTGTGAAGTGGATTCTCAGATATCTCAGGGGTACCTCCAAAATGAGTTTATGCTTTGGAGGTGGAAAACCTAAATTGATTGGCTACATAGATGCAGACATGGCAGGAGATCTTGATTCCAGAAAATCTACTTCATGATACCTGATTACATTTTCAGGGGGAGCAGTTTCGTGGCAATCAAAGTTACAGAAATGTGTTGCTCTATCAACTACAAAGGCAGAGTTTATTGCAGCTACTGAAGTGTGCAAAGCAATGCTCTAGATGAAGCGGTTCCTACAAGAATTAGGGCAAGAGCAGCATAAATACATTTTGCATTGTGATAGTCATAGCGCGATCCACTTGAGCAAGAATCCGAGTTTTCACTCGAGGTTGAAGCACATTGATGTGCGATATCACTGGATACGTGATGTGTTGGAGTCCAAGCAATTGCAGCTTGAGAAGATCCATACTGATGACAATAGTTCAGATATGATGACCAAGTCCTTACCTAAGGACAAGTACGAATTTTGCAGAAGAGCAACTGGATTGCTGGAGCCCTCCACCTAAGTCGGGAGGGGGAGATTGATGGGTTTCCCTCATTAGTGGAGGAGAGAAAAAGATGGATAGATAAATAGTAAAATAAAATGAAAGAAAGGACGGGAGAGTTTGAAGAAAACGAATGGAAAAGAAAAGGAACAAAACTCTCCTTCATGCATGACCACCAATTAGTTAGGAATGTTGGCTATAAAAGCCGTAGCCTTCTTTTAGTTCATTGCATCTCTTAGAAAACCAAAACTTATAGAGTTTTGAGAAATAAGAAAGCCTCACTTGTGTGAGAGAGAAAATCCTCTTGAGAGAAAAACCAAGAGAGAGTTTAGCCACCGGTGTTTGGTGAGATTATTATTGTATTCCCATTAGTTTTCCTTAGTGGAAGATATAGTGTTATTTTTGCTCATTTTATTTACACAAGGCTGGGAGAAGTCAGATCCTGGGAGTGCCATATTTATTTATTGGCTCTTTTATTTTTCGCCATCTTTCCCAACACTTGGACCACCGAACGTTTGCAGTAATGATGAGTGCAATTTGGCTAATGACGGTTCCAGTTGGACCCTTCCTAGCCCTGGGTTACAAGACCACAAGGGCTTCCACACAATACAAAATCAGGAACATACAACGCTTAGAACCTGATACCGAGCTTCGAATCCTCACATATACCCACACCTCCATCAACGTTTCCGGCATTGTAGACCTCCTCGAGGCTTCAAATCCATCCCGACAATCCCAGATCTATGTCATCGCCGTCCAACTCGTGGAGCTCACCGGCCAAGCTTCGGCCATGCTCATCGTGCATGACGCTTGCAAAGCTAACACAAATCATACCTGGGCCAACACCGAGGCACAACCTCAGTCATTCACCTCTACAAATGCCTTTGAAAGCTACGCCAAGGGAAGAGAAAACGTTTATGTTCAAGCACTCACGACCGTTTCAGCCAACAACACCATGCACGAGGACATATGCTATCTGGCCGAGGAGAAGTGCATCAACCTCATAATCATCCCGTTCCACATGCAAGCTAATATAGACGGCGCCATGGAGGATGCCAACCCTAGTTTGAAGGGCATCAACAATAACGTGATCGAGGAGGCTCCCTGCTCCGTGGCGGTTTTTGTCGACCGCGGATTTAGTATGTCCCATATGACCGAGTCATACAAGTACACCTCCCAGGCCTACAGCCACTTCGCCATGTTCTTCATCGGAGGGGCAGATGACCGCAAGGCGTTAACGTATGCATGGAGGATGGAAGGAAATCCGAGGGTTAACTTAAAGGTTGTACGGTTTATCGTTATCCCAAATAACAACAACAGAAACAACAACGACGAAATTGATCCAAAGTTAATGGAAGACAGTGGGAGGGAGAGGCAAATAGACAAGTTGTACGTGGATGAGTTTAGGCTGAAGTCCAAGCACAACCCCAACATACAATTCTTGGAGGAGAATGTGAATAGCTGGGAACAAACTCTGAATCTCATAAGGGAGTTGCAGGGTGAATATGACTTGTACGTAGTGGGAAGACGGCATGGAAGCACATCACCGGCGAAGGCATTTTCAAATCATTATTTGAGCCAGACTGACGATCAATTGGGGACTCTCGGGGAAGCATTATTGACTTCAAGTTTTGCAATTAATGCATCCATTCTTGTAGTGCAGCAGGGGGCCGCTGTGGATGAACCAGAGGATGAAAAGGTTTCGGTTATATGAAATTAGCAAAAACCCTTCAAAATTCTTTGTGAACTTAGAATAGGATGACTCGACTTAGATCCTTTTCCTTTCTTTTTTGCTTCTTGTTTTGTTTTGCTAAATCAGGAAAAGTTATAAAGAAATTATTCACCCTTTTCATTGCATCTAGTTTTGAACCGTGTCAATTCTATATTCAAGATATAGTAGAATGATACTAAGAGTTTCAGGAAAGAGCTTGTAGCTAAAGTGATTGCGAGCATGTGCACTTTAAATTTTACCACTAAGGAGCGATGAAACATTGGACATGCAGCTTTTCTTGCATATGTTTGAGCTAAAAAATAATCCTGTTTCTTAATCACATTTATGTTAATACATAATTTGTTTATGGATTGAATTGTGAACAAAATCCTCATAGAGTTTCAATGTCTATAATGGAATATCTGTAGAATTTCAATGTTTATAACTTTTGCCAATAAGCTAGACTTGTCACATGAGAATCTTCTGTCTGACTAACAAAAAATTGAAAAAGAATAATTACAGCTATATTTGAAACTTACCTATTAACCTGTCCATTCACCCTATGAAGAAGAAGAAGAAGAAGAAGTCACTACTATCAATTGTCAACAAAAACTTTTCTTTTGAGAGAGCTGAACAAGGGATAGCTTTTAAAATGATTCAGACAACTCAATTGTATTCTGTGTGACCTTAAGTTTTGATTTGAAGCTTTGTCAAATATTTTCATCAGAATTTAATTACAGTTTGTACAGAAGATTTTACCATTTCAGCATTTCGTCCTTGGTTGCAGTCGAAGCAACTAAAATGCTAATTGTTAGTTAGTATATGAAAGAGTTAGCACAATGAAATGCAATGAAAAATCACTCAAGAGCTGGCAGCTATTTTAATTGTTACCAAAAGAAAGGGGAAATAGAAGGGAAAAGACAAGTCCAAATTTTATTTACAAATTCGTAGAATATTAGCCAAATCTGCTAAATGATTTCAGTAGAAAGTCACTATGCCATATATGCCTCGCTGAAAGATTACGCTTGAAGTTAGAAAATAACAAAACTATATTCCCTTTTAATTATTCAAAAAAGAATGTGCTTCAAATTTTCAAGAAATTTCAAGAATTTTCAAAAAACAACTAAACTTGACTGCTTTGAATGAAAGTTAATACAAGAAGTAAATTGCCGAACTCATCTTATTGTGTGGGTTTTAAATTTTAACTCTCAACTTTAAGGACTCTTTAGTAGCTCTATTTTTTAGTGCAATTTGAACGGCCAGAGGGGCCATCTGAATTATGTGGGTCTCCACAGAGCGATCCATTCCAAAGGCGGATTGTGTATGTGTGTGTGTGTGCATCTACCAAACAACAAAAGAGATAGATATACAGAAGATTAATCACAACTGACAGGAATCGTAATAATAACAGAAGATTACATTAGCAGTAAGCATATAGTCCAAGAAGAACAGCGGCAAAATCAACTAACCTGTTAGCTTGTTGCTCCTCAAGATGTTTTGTTCTGTATATCACTTTTATCCTCGACAAATTTCACAACATTAAGCACGGTAGAACTAACAGTAGAAATGCATTTGAAGAACATAAGCAGTCAGAGTGAAGTATATTTTAACTAACAGGAATGGACTCCAGAATTTTAGCTACTTCAGGAGATGCAGCCTTTCCTTCCACAAAAAGGAAAAAGGTAGTAGCTCCAATGACCTTGTGATAAAACATCCATGGTAAAATCTGTTGATTATTGGCTCAAAGAAGTCAAAAAGGTGAAATTCACTTTCTGCTAGTTATTGTTGTAGTTGGCTGTTTGCCTTGGTATTTGGTTGATTGGTTACTTTCGGCTGTTTGTCTTGGTTGATTGGCAGACAAATTGCATGGGCACATTAATTGTTGGACGTTGGCTAATTAATTGGTTTGACTTCAGTAGCTGGCCTCATAACTGAAGTAGTTGGCCTTCACCCGTTGGCTTCTCTATAAATAGAGAAGCATGGCAGAAGCAAGAGTGTGAGAAGGAGCCGCACCAAAGTCTGAGAGAGAAAAGTGAGAGAGGAAAAATAAGAGTTGGGCAGCAAAACATTTGTTGCTGCCATTAGTTGTTTTTCCCTTTTCAATTTGTACTCAATTTGTATTCCCTTTATATTCTTGAGTGTGTGAGCTTGGGTATATTTGGGGCTTGGGTTTCTGAGTGTTAAAAACTATTGTATTCTCTCATTTGATTATAGTGGAATACTCCGTCGTCTCCAAACTGAATGTAGGCATTGCCGAACCAGTATAAATCTTGGTGATCTTTTTGTTATTGTTCTTTTTTATCTCTTGCCAGTTGTTTATTTTTCACTCACAGTTGGTTGACGCTTCCGCACAACAAGTGGTATCAGAGCTCCAGTTTTTTGACTGGGGTTTCGAAGGAGTGAAAAATTTGCTGGAGCTACAGTGGCGGAGTATCTGTGAGGGAGCCAGAATAACCAGAAAAATAATTTGGATTTTAGGATAGTAAACAGTGGTTCGGGAGCTAGGAACGAGGGTGGCCATAAGAGGGAACGTCCTCACGAGTATATATCAGGCTATAAAAGCTCAAGATTTCAAGGGAGTGATTATCAAACAGGTAATTGCTGGAGTAGGGGAAATAATAGAAAGAGGGTCAGTTTTGCCCGAGTGTGATAGAGAATGGGGCATCGGTATATGTAATGGCCTCGAAACCGTCTATCCTTGGAGTCAATAGAAGCAGATTTGCAGGCATGATCTAAATATCATATCATTTCTGTAATCTATCTCCTATAGACAGTGTGTAATTTTGTTCTTCTAGAGTGCAATTTGAGGGATATAGTTTGGGGGCCTTTAATTTTAATGGACGCTCAACGTTTGCGGCATTTATCATTGTAGAATTACTTGAAGGGGGCGGATCCGTGGCACTATGTTTTTGACACAAGTTTTGACATAATTTTTGGGTCATTAGATCACTTCACTTTCAATGGTTGAGATTAAACCAAACCTCACATGGTAAGTAGTTTTAATTTTTTAAATAGACAATCATTAATTTTATTTTCTCTCTCATAAAATAAAAGAAATGATTTTCCCTCTCCTCCCTTTTTTCTTGGAGACGTAATCCCAACTGCCTCTTTAATATCAAATATTTATTAAGGTGTAATAAATAAAGAATTTCACCAAAAACTAAAGGCCCAAACCGTGAAGAGTCTCTTCAGTTTCCCCTTCTTCTCGCACATGCATATGCAGCCATCAATTCATCTTCAGTAGTTTTTTCTTTTATGTCAAAGAAATTTCTCCTATCTTAATACAGATATTGTATCATCAAAATATTGGAGCCGTACACCCGAATGATATTTCCTCCAACTCTCAGTCCCATATCTCCGGGGAAACTAATTAAATTTCTAGTCAACTTCCAATCATAGCTGTAGCCAATTTCAGGAATGGTAAATGCCCAGTTTATTAAGCTCATGATTCACAACAATCTGTAGCTCAAAGAATGACTTCCCCCCAAGGCTACCTATGTATATTGTATTGCCATGCCGGGTGCCATCTTGGACATTGTTCATCTCTAATGTTCTGATATTCCTGTTGGAAAAAATGGCTCACCTAAAGGATACAAAGGTTTTGGCGCTCAATGAGAGAATTTGAAACTGCCTAAAAGCGACCGGTCGCTGGGAAGTTGCTACCGGTCGTTTCTGGCAGATTCGAGGTCTGGAGCTAAACCAAGGAGCGACCGGTCGCCAGTTCTTTGCGACCGGTCGCATG